GTAATGTATATTTTACATTATACATGTAAAATATATATTTACATGTATATTTTGTTTTTTTTCACTGGTGCCCCACCTGAGTCTTCTCCTCCCATTTCTACCAGTGATCATTGTTTCCTTCCCGCGGTACTCCCTGCACAGATATCAATAGCGTCACTGGGCTGTAGGTTGCCAAGTTGAGGGGACAAATGGGTTGAAATTTGTACGTGTCGATCGTGTGAGAAAGATGCGTTTCACACAAGATCTGGCAACTGGACAACCTTGGAATTTGTTGTCGTGATTATTCATATAATGAGGTTTGGCCCATACAAATTACGGGAGTTTTACCGGAAGCGAATGTCGCAAACATATAAAATACGCCCAGTGGGATTTTTAATTTTTTTTTATAGAAAGATTAAAAATACGGGAAAATATTTAAACGGGATGATAGCAGGATAGAATGGTAAAATATGGGACAATTCCGGGAAAAACGGGAGGGTTAACAGGTATGATGTTTTATAAAGTCAATATTGCAACTATAACAAGCAATTGTGAGTTCAATCTTTTTTTCGTCAGAATTGAACTTTATAACTCATGATTTCGAGTTTATATCTCTTAGTTCTGAGAAAAGAAGTCACAATTGTCAGATAAAAAGTCGCAATTACTTTTTTTTTTTTTTTTATTCAGAGGCGGAAATGAGTTTCCATAACACAGTGTTGATTGAGAGATGAACAAATAAATGTTCCTCAAAAGCTTGATGATCAGATTTGATATTTCATTACACCAAATACACAAAATAATGTTCTTTTTAGCAGCATCATATGACCCCTTTAAACAAGATTTTTCTAAAAAAAATGATGTCTGGATAATCAAATAAAGCTAAGCTGCTTTAGTGCAGTAAGTGTTGATTTGGAAATATTACTAACTAACTAAAGTTATTCTTATGTTTAGTAAAGATTTCACAGCAAAAAGTCACGTGAACCACAGCTGAAGGAGGATGTTTTTATAATTATACTAAAAGGCCTTTTACTTGCTAAAAAAATCATAAACTATCAATCAGACAACAGCAAGCATGTAGTAGATTGTGTGCAACAGGTTTTCAGCAAAGTTTTGATCATGCTGATCATTTAGAGGCCTTAGAAATTCGTATATCAGATATGAGACAGTAGGCTTTATAGGGTTAATTTCATGTTTCTTTCTGATATGTTTATATTGTGCTGCATGTCTTTTAAAAGCTCCTGGCCTCTTTCTTTCTGCGTGTGTGTTGTCCAGCGTGTCCGGAGGGCTTGTTTGGCAGGAATTGCTCGTTGAGCTGTAAGTGTAAGAATGGCGGTGTGTGTGATCCGGTCACCGGGAGCTGCCGCTGTCCACCAGGGGTCAGTGGAGAGCTGTGTCAGGACGGTCCGTTTACATTGACACCTTCACTGTATGGAGAGATATAACAGACATAATGCAAATCATTTTTAATATTGATATCGATGCAATCACTTCAGGTTGTCCCAAGGGTCTCTATGGGAAGTTCTGTAATAAGAAGTGTAATTGTGCTAATAACGGACGGTGTCATCGCACTTACGGGGCGTGTCTGTGTGACCCGGGACTGTACGGAAGGTTCTGCCACCTACGTGAGTGCTGTACTTTGCCACTTTAACTACACTGTGCTTTGTAGAGCAATTAAAACAGGCTCCAGTTGCAACAGGATATTTGTAATCTGGTATGACTTTCTGTCTTCTGTGTTCATGCAGCGTGTCCTAAGTGGACGTTTGGCCCAGGCTGTTCTGAAGAGTGTCAGTGTGTTCAGCAGAACACTGTAGAGTGTCACCGCCATCATGGCGCCTGCATTTGCAAGCCGGGTTATCGGGGAGACACCTGCAAAGACGGTCCGTTTGCATAATGAACGCCTGAAGTGTTGTTAATGCAAGGTTGCATTGCACTGAAAAATTTGCATTGAAATGCTTTAAGGAAATACAAGGAAAAGAATAGGAAAATTATCTAAAAATAAAAGTATAGTAAAATAATAAGTAAAATAAAATAATAGAAATAAAATAAAATAAATGGGGAGTTGATATATAGTATTTTTATCTTTTTTATTTAAAATTTGCTTGAAAATGCTTTAATGAAACAAAAATGGAAAAACATGCAATCTAAAATTAGATTAAATAAAAAAAATTTGTTTTAAATTAAATTGCATTTAAAAATGCTTTAATGAAAAAGAAGGAAAAGAATGTGAAAACAATCTAAAAATAAAATAAAACAAATACAAATAAAATAAAATTGACACTTGATGCACAGCATTTTAATCTTTATTTTAAATTTGCTTGGAAATGCTTTAATGAAATATGAAAATGGAAAAACATGCAATCTAAAATTAAATTAAATTAAATAATAATAATTTTTTTAATTTGCATTTGAAATGCTTTGATGAAAAACAAGGAATAAATTGGAAACATAATGTAAAAATTTGATTAAAATAACATTTTAAAATTGCAATCTAAAAATAAATGTATAGTTGTCGACACATATCATCTTAATCTTTTTTATTTTAAATTTGCTTTGAATTGCTTTACTGAAGACAAAATGGAAAACAATGCAATCTAAAATTAAATTAAATTAAATTAAATGGATTGTTAATGCATAGCCTTTTAACCTTTTTTCATTTTAAATTTGCTTTGAAATACATGAAATACATTACAATTAAAATAATTGGAAAACATGCACTTTAAAAATAAAATAAGAACATAAAATAGAATAAAAACATGAAATAAAAAAAAAATTTAAATGGATATTATTTATACAAAGTATTATTATTCTAAGTAATATTATTCTATATTTTATTTTTTATTTATTTAATTAATTTTAAAATTGCATTTGAAATGCTTTAATTAAATACAGGGAAAAGAATGGGAAAACATGCAATATAATAATTAAATTAAATTAATAATTTCAATAAAATGGACAGTTGACAAAAGTTTTAGATGGAGATACAGTGTATATGATCAGTATTAATTGTTTTTCCTTGCAGCATGTGAATCAGGCTTCTTTGGCTCTGGCTGTGATAATAAATGCTCCTGTCCGGCTGGAGTGACCTGTGATCATGTGACCGGAGCGTGTCAACCGCAGTGTCCAGCTGGAAAGAGAGGAGACAAGTGTGACCAAGGTACATCAAGTCAAATTATAGATATATAAAGAGTCTATATGACAATAAGGTCATTAGAGCTAAAGTGTTTGACATGCATCAGTCATTGATCAGATCAATAAAGTGAAATTATAGATGCATGAAATGTCTATATGCCATTAAGGTCATTAGAGCTGAAGTATTTGAAATGCCTCAGTCACTGATCAGATCGATACAGCTGCATGTGGATATTGAATGTGGTTTGATTTGTGTCTCACACCGTCTCCTATTAAAGCTCCAAACGTTCAGCACCATAAATGTTTTTGCCATTACTGTGATAGATTGTGTTGATGGGAGATTTGGGATTGGCTGCTCTCAGTCATGTGACTGCTCAGGGGCACCATGTGACAGGATCACTGGCCAATGCTTGTGTCCCGCTGGAACGTTTGGAAAACGTTGTGAAAAAGGTAATATTGTCATGCTGACATTAGCATGTCATTCTTATATTGTTCTATATTTTTTATATTGTTTTCACAACTATTAAAAAGACCCTTAGCTTATAATAAAATAATTTACAGTATTTTAATACTGTAAACTTGTATTAGTGGCTCATAGACAAAATAATCCTATAAGAAAATTATGCATGTTCACATAATGTTGTTTAACCCTTGTGTTATGTTAAAGTTCTGGGTACTTGTATTCAATGCAATTCAAAAATCACAGCATGAAAAAACAATCAAACAAACTAACAACAACAAGAAAATCAGGAAAAAAACACATTACCAAAAAAGCCAATAAACCCAATGATTTTTAAAACTGTATTTAGCTATTTTTAAACATTTGTTTTTCACAAAATGTGAATATTATAAACAGTGTTTGAATTTTTTTTATTTTTAAATTAAAAATTTAGGTTGTTTTTATTTTTAATTAATTAATTAATTTATTTTTAATTTACATACATTTCTTCAGATATATAACTGTATTTAACTATTAACTATAAAATATTTAACTATTTTTAAACATTTGTTTTTCACAAAATGTGAATATTATAAACAGTATTTTCATTTTTTTTATTTTTAAATTTAAAATTTAGGTTATTTTTATTTTGAATTTATTTATTTATTTATTTATTTATTTTTAATTTACATACATTTCTTCAGATATATAACTGTATTTAACTATTAAATATTTAACTATTTTTAGACATTTGTGTTTCACAGAATGTGAATATTGTAAACAGTGTTTTATTTTATTTTTAAATTTAAAATTCAGGTTATTTTTATTTTTAATTAATTAATTAATTAATTAATTTATTTATTTTTAATTTACATACATTTCTTCAGATATATAACTGTATTTAACTATTAAATATTTAACTATTTTTAGACATTTGTGTTTCACAGAATGTGAATATTGTAAACAGTGTTTTATTTTATTTTTAAATTAAAAATTCAGGTTATTTTTAATTTTAATTTTAATTTGTTTGTTCCTTTATTTTTTATATTTTGCTTTTTATTTTACATAAATTTCTTCAGATATAAGTGTCTGCCAAATGCATAAATGAAAATGTAAATACCCTCAGAGTGTAGTTAAGAACATGAAATATTTTGAATTTGTGCAACTGTCCAAAAATTTGTCCAAAAGTCCAACTGACATCATAACATTCCAATTGTAATAGAAATTTTGTACGCACATTCCACAACACCTCAGTGTTGACACTTTGCAGGCATGTTCATGAGCCAATATGAGAAATAGTCACACAATTTCAAGAAAAACAACCTAGGTTAACCAGTATTTCCGACAACTAAGAAATGTGTTGCGGGTCAAATTGACTCGGAGCATAATGTTGAGAGTCACATTAATGATACTGTCCAGATATAGAATTCAAACACACAGTGTTTCTGCATCAGAGTGTGCGGAGGGTCGCTGGGGCGTTGAATGTCGGGAATCGTGTCCGGTGTGTGAGAACGGAGGCCGCTGTGACCGGCGTAACGGGACGTGTGTCTGCGCTCCTGGATTCATCGGCAGATTGTGCCAGAACAGTGAGTGAATCTCTGTGCTTCTCAAAACCAGATGCATTTCTTCTGTTTGTGCTGTTTCGTCAATCTCTCTGTGCTCAGTGTGTCCCGCGGGACGTTTTGGTGCGGGCTGTCAGCTCAGATGTGCCTGTGATAATGGAGCTCGCTGCCATCCTGTAACCGGACGCTGCTCGTGTCCTCCTGGCTGGACGGGCCACCACTGCAGGAAGGGTGTGTTTCATTTATTTATTATGTAATTATAAAAAATAAATGGAAATTTTGAACATTGGTGGATATAAATCTTTTTTCTTGACTAACGTGGTTCATCCATCAGTGGGTGATTTTCCAGTGGTTTTCAAGCACCAAAACAATAAAAGTTTAATACAGCTTGATTTTTTTCCGTACGTTAGAATGCGTCATGTTTAATTTTATTGTTTTCTGAGCCAAAAATAATGACTATCATACATTTTTACCATGATTTACAGAAGACACCCACTAAAATGTATTTCAGTGTAACAGTAGTTTATATACTAAATATTTAGTAAATAAATAAATACTAAATAGTTATTCTAAATATCAGGAATATTTATAACAAGAATCATTAGAAGACATTAAAACACTCTATTTAAGGATCACAGTTCAGCCCTAAAATACTAATTAGTTGTCATTTTTAATCTTTGCCACTATCCTGCAGACCACTAGGTTTTACCCATTTGTCAGCAAGAAGTTTTAAATCATTTAAAATATAAAAAAATGTGGTATGATCACTTATTCTTTTAATATTTTAACAAGTGTCAGTGTCATTTTAACTATTTCAGTTTTACATAAATATACCTGTTACGCTGAATGATGATGGAACATTATTTCACCCATATTTTACTGTTTTCACAAAAGTTATTTGAAACATTAAAGACACTTTACTTTGCATTTAATATGCTTTCTGTTTAAAAAAAAATTCACTTTTTTAAATTGGATGCAGATACCAAAATGGGACATCATGTCTTTGACCCCCGAACTTAAGTGCAATAAAAAATCTAGTATTTTTGTACTTTTACTGAAGTAAAAATGAAAATGAGTACTTTTACTGGAATAATATTTTGTTAGGGTATCTGTACTTTTACTCAAGTATTTGTGTTATATAAATATTTGTGTTCTTCATCCAGCACTGATTTTGAGATCATGTTTGAGGGGATAATGTGTGTGTGTGTGTGTGTGTTGTAGCCTGTGACGCGGGCCGCTGGGGTCTGGACTGTGTGAATGTGTGTGACTGTCGAAACGGTGACGGAGGCTGTGAGGCTCAGACCGGACGCTGTCAATGTGAGGCGGGTTTCACTGGACCTCGATGTGACCAGAGTGAGTGAAACACCTGCGTGCACAACAACACTCACAGCATTCCTGCAGATCAAACAGAATAGCGCTTGCAATGCTAGCTCTACCTTAAATGCAATCTAAGTTGCTTTGGATAAAAGTGTCTGCCAAATGCATAAATGTAAACGTGTTAAAGAAACACATGATACTTTCTGTAGGATGCACTTTACAATATCATTGTCAAAATGATTTCAGTTTCATTATATTGCATATTTAATATTTGGTTATGGTTTTTGGTGTTAAAATGCGGTGGCATCTGTGCATTCATTGTTTTATTTTAGATTAAAAGTTCTATATTCCATGTATATCTAATATCTTTTTTAAATGTTACAGTATTTATGATAATGAAATACAAAAAAAAGATAATGAAATACCAAAAAAAATATAGGAAAATGCGCAATGTAAAATAAATAAATAAACAATATGAAAAAATAATAAAATGAATTAAAAAGATAGTTGAAACAAAATTTTTTATTAAATTAATTTAAGTAAAAAATTATTTATTATATTATATTATATTATATTATATTATATTATTAGGGAAAATATTTAAGATACAGTTACTATAACCATTTCCTTTAGGTTTTTTCCTCTATGTATTTATTTTATTTATTTGCATTTTGCCTTCACTTGTTGATGTTAAATGGTTTTGCAGGTTGACAGATGAATTTCTAAATGTACAAATATTTTACTTAGTCTCTTAATTCATATGTGCTCATAAAATCACCATGTATAATAATTATATTAAAAAAATGGAGATATAATATGTCATTTTTTCCCTTGTAGAGTGGAATTATTTGAGATTTAATAGTTCTTCTATATTCATGTATACTGCTATATCTGTACAAATGTTACAGTATTTAAGGTACTAGTATTCATTATTAATATTTGATAATGAAATATGAGGAAAAGAATCTGAAAACATGCCAAATAAAATAATGCATAGTTGATACATTACATTTATATGTGTATATTAGGAAAAATGTATATCTAAGGTCCTGTAACTTTATCCATTTATTTATTCAAACCATTTTGCCTTCACTTATTCATTTTAAATAGTCTTGCAAGTTGACAAATGTACACATATTCCATATATTTTCTTATTTTAGATTTGACAGTCTTCATGTGTGCCTTCTATCTGTTATCAATGTTACAGTATTTATCATGCATTTGATGTGATCTGTGTCTGTCCCAGAATGCCCTGCTGGTTCATTCGGCCTGGGCTGTAAGCATGGCTGCCAGTGTGAAAACCAGGCGTCATGTGACCATGTGGGCGGAGCTTGTACCTGTAAGATTGGCTGGACGGGAACGTTCTGTGAAAAACGTATGTTTGTTCCACTTAACATATATTAACATCAGTCATGTTGTGGCTTTTTGATTTGTTTGTGTGTGTGTGTCCAGCCTGTCCGCAGGGTTTCTGTGGTCTGGACTGTCAGCAGAAGTGTGTGTGTATGAACGGAGCTCTCTGTGATCATGTCAGTGGTGAATGTGCCTGTCGTCCTGGCTGGATCGGCCCACACTGTAACCAAAGTGAGCTTATTCTTAAAGATGTTTAACTTTTGTAGCATTTTATCTTCACTTCTATGCTTTATAACTGTACCTTTAATAGACCTCTTCAGCTAGGAAATTTGCTAAAGTTGTTAAAACCGAACAGCCTTTTCAAAAAAGGAGGATTTGTGCAGTCAGCAGGATCTCGAGCACATGTTATGATTATAATTTCTTCTTTTACGAGCACATCTGTCTTTCTGTCTCGCACACAATGAGCCGTTTTCCAGTGAGTAATGTCCGTGCCGTTTGTCTGGTCTGCAGCGTGTCCTGCTGGATTGTATGGAGCGAGCTGTTCTCAGACCTGTGTTTGTCACAATAACAGCAGCTGTGATGCAGCAAGCGGTCAGTGTGAGTGCAGCGCAGGGTGGACGGGAGACACCTGCTCACAACGTAAGATACTGACGCGTCAGTCATTAAAATGTTTTATATATATATATATGTCTGTACTATTTTTTAAATGTTTTTGAAAGAAGTCTCTTCTGCTCTCCAAGGCTGCATTTATTTAATCAAAATACAGTAAAAACAGAAATATTTTTACAATATTTAAATAACCACTTTCTATTTTAATATATTTTATAATGTAATTTATTCCTGTGATGTAAAGCTGAATTTTCAGCACCATTACTCCAGTCTTCAGAGTCACATGATCCTTCAGAAATCATTCTAATATACTGTTTTGATGCTCAAGAAACATTTATGATTATTATCAATGTTTAAAACAGTTGTGCTGCTTCATATTTTAGTGGAAACCGTGATACTTTTTTTTAATGATTTTTTTTAGTGAATAGAAAGTTCAAAAGAACAGCATTTATTTGAAATAGAAATCTTTTTTAAGAATATACACACTCACCAGCCACTTTATTTAGGTACATGTTCAACTGCATGTTAACACAAATATCTAATCAGCCAATCACATGGCAGCAACTCAATGCATATAGGGTATGTTTACATGATGACAATATGCTAAAAACAGAAAACAGATCCTTAAAAATGACTAAAACGTTGTATTATGCGCGCCAGGCCAGTAGGAGACAATATCACTTCGTAAAGAAACATGTAAACATGTTATGTCACCTTTTTCACAAATTCCCATTTAGGTAGTTCACAAGACGACGATAATGGTATCATTTACAAAAACGTGCACTTTGAAAGCCATTTTCAAAAGTTTGCGTTTTCGAGCCCCTAAAATGCCATTGTCATGTAAAGGAACGGCCAAAACACATAAAACATTTTCAATTTTTTGTTGAAAACGGTGTTGTGTAAATGTCCCCTTAGGCACGTTCAGGACAGTATGCTTAAAGTCACACTGAGCATCAGAATGGAGAAGAAAGCTGATTAAATGACTTTGAACGAGGCTTGATTGCTAGTTTCAGACGGGCCGATCTGACTATTTCAGAAACTGCTGGTCTGTTGGAATTATCATGCACAACTATCTCTAGGGTTTACAGAGAATGATCCGAAAAAGAACACTGGAATATCCAGTGAGTGTCAGTTCTGTGGGAGAAAATGCCTCGTTGATGTCAGAGGAGAACGGCTAGACTGGATTCAGCTGATAGGAAGGCAACAGTAACTCAAATAACCGTCGTTACAACCGAGTCAATATTGAGGGTCTCTGCAGTAACTCTGTGTTGTTTGGACACAATACTTCTTAGTGTTTGATACACTTTCATATGTGTTATTTATTCAGGGG